TGTATAAATGTAACAAATTATTATTATTATTATATCACAACAACAACTACATCATCTATTCAAAGCTTTGAAAATTCCCCAAACGTTAAAGCAACACTAAGTAAGATATTTTACCTTAAAATAATGGTTTCAGTGGTTCATTAAGTCGTAACAGGGTGAAAGACACTTCTGGATCCTATATCTGCTATAACCACACTAGGCTTGCTACGGTAGTCGGTGTTACCGGTGTTCAGGCGCAACACCGGTTTCATCACTTGTCCACCGCGACACCGAAATATATATATATATATATATAATATATTTATATATTTAACGCAATTACGCAGTATCCGTTTTTTTCTGTCACCCGTTGACTACCGTTGTATGATCACGCTCTTATTAATGTGAATGATATTAAGTGCAAAAAGACTAAAGAGACCGCGCTGTCTTGCCAACACACACGCGCGGGCGCGCCCGACCCACAGAAAAGACGCGCGTCAGTATCGAGTTCTCTCTCGGGCTTGAACAAACCATAACACACACAAATTATGCCAAAATGTCAGTTTTGTCGAGTGTCCTCATAAGAGCAGTCTTAAATGATTTAAATAAAGTCTTAAATTAACGTAGAGATTTGTGAGAAAATGGGACGCGTGTCGATCGCGTCTCTGTCAGCAGCTGGTCTTAAAGTGTCATTAAAGTTAATCAAAAGGTAAGAGAGTAAATGACTCACTCAGACCCGGAGCCAGGAGGATTATTAAACCGGTAGCCTAATAATCATGAATGCACACTGCTATCTTTAACACATCTCCGGCGAACGGCTTCTTCACGCAAAAGAAAAATTCTTCATGAAGCGCAGTGAAATTCAGCGACCTGGCGTTTCCTGGTGGATCGAGGTTGTTCGTTAACTTAATTTTATACGTGCAACTCACGCAGCCTATGACACTGTACCTGCTGACAGACAGGACCGAGCAGGTAATATTTAATATGAAACAAAGTCTCAACTTTCAAATTTGGTCAGTCAAAGAAAATTAAACAATAGGCCTACCGTTTTGTGGCTCTAATGTGTCGTGAGAGATTGCCTCAGTTAAAGACAAGTTCAAATCCACCGACGCTAATGTATATAAGTGAAAGTGAAGTGCACACTGCTGCACCAGCTTTTTATAAGCAATGTAAAAAAAAATTAGTTTCGTTTTCAAATGAGCGGCAATTCAGCGCACAATAACAAAACAGTGTTGCTCCGCACGACCACCATTATGCATGCATACCCGTGCAAACGCGCGCATTTTACATGTGCCTTTAAATGAGTGATTTAAAAGCCCCCGCCGGTGATACCGGTATTACCGGTGTTGTAACACGTCGATTAACCAGTGTGAAAAAATCCTCACCGTCACATCCCTAAACCACATGATCGGGTCGCGTTTCTGTAGTTCTAATTAGACATAAGAAAACTACAAATTTGACTTGCTTTACGTCAAGCGTCATTATTTTGTTTTTCTTCGTTTCTGATGTCGCAATACATCATACTTTCATGAAATCATGCAACAGACTCTAGCTTGTCTGTGGACATCGTTCATTCCAAAGCCGGCGCTGGATAAACACGAGCGTGCGTGCGACAGTCGGCTGCGCTAGGCTAAATTATTTACGACAGCGGTAATGAACAATTCCACTTCCAACCTGTAGGGCGACCGCATAGGAAAAGTTACTTGGTGTTGCTTTAAGATGCGTTTTGGTCGATCGGATCACAAGTGGACGACACTAAATACAGGTGTAAACGGGGTCTAAAAACGTTTTGAGCTTGTCCAATTTCCATCACTTCCAGAGGTAGTAGATAACGCGTTTGACCGGATTGCTTTCGTAGTGTAAACGCTCATGTGATCAAATGTGTTCGAACAGCCACAAAAGACCGTCTACTCTCCGTCTACTGACCTAACATTAAACATCTAGCCAGACTGGATTTAAGCTTTGTCGGCTGAAGACCTTAGTTTGGTTTGAAGATAAAAAACATCCCAAGCACAATGTCCTCTCATTCCTGATCTCTAACACACACTCACAGCGTTCGGCTGGTCTTGTGTCTGTCAGAGCAGAAACGAAAGCTGATGCTCTCCGTGTGTTTCTCCGTCGGCACGTTCATATGTAAATTGCGCAAACTTATGTCGTCCATTAGATTGAAAGATCTGAAAAACCATACATTTACCCTCCCCTTGAAGATATGAAAGTGGACAAAAGAGACAGATTAAAACACAACAAATTGATGCTTCCTCGTTTTCCACCCGTTCATCCTTCAGCCCGTGACCCGGAAGCCGATCGAACCCAGCCATCTTGGGAATCTCAATCCTCTAATTGCACCACAAGTAACAAGGAATTCCACTTCCAACCTGTAGGGCGACTGCAGAGGAAAAGTTACTTGGTGTTGCTTTAAGGCCCGTACCATGATGTTGTAGGCTTGTCCGCTGCCGCCCTGCTTCGGATGAGCAGGGATGATTCCCTGAGTTAGCAGCTGCTCCAGGATCTCGCTGGACTCGGGGCGCTCTTCGCCTCGCTGGGCCAGGACAGGACTCTGGGCTGCGTTTCACACACACAACATAAATATTAAATTTAGCTTTTCCTCTATAAGGTTGTTGCATGCAAAACACAATGCTATTAATCAGCTTCTCTGCACTACCAGTGAAAAGAAGTGACTCACCAAGGCTGGATTTATTTGATTAAAAATAAAAAAAACAGTAAAAATTGTGAAATATTATTATAATGTAAAACAGCTGTTTTCTATGTGAATATATAGTAAAGTGTAATGTATTAGCATCATTACTCCAGTCTTCAGTGTCACAGGATCCTTCAGAAATAATTATGTATAAAAAGTATTGATGAATAAAAGTATTGATTTCTTTTATTTCTTTCCCCCCCCCCCCCCCCCCCCCCAAAAAAAATAATATAAAAATTCTTACTGACCCCAAACATTTGAACGGTAGCTTCAAAAGCTTTCTATTTCAGATAAATGCTGTTCTTTTGAACTTTCTATTCATCAAAGAATCCTGAAATAAAATGTAAATAACTGTTTTCAACATTAATAATATTCATAAATGTTTCTTGAGCATCAGATCATCATATTAGAGTGATTTCTGAAGGATCATGTGACACTGAAGACTGGAGTAATGATGCTGAAAATTCAGCTTTGATCACAGGAATAAATTACATTTTACAATATATCCAAATAGAAACAGTTATTTTAAATTGTCATAATATTTAACAATATTACTGTTTTTGTTTTATTATCAAATAAATGCAGCCTTGGTGAGGAGAAGAGACTTCTTTTCAAAACATTAAAAGTCTTAACAATCCAAAACTTTTGTACATGTCTCTGAACGAGTTAGGCAGCAGTTTTTGGTTGAATTAGAGTGAAACAACAGAAGTTGTGTTGTTTCCTAACCTCGTAGCGGTGGAAGGAGTCCGGGAACAGATCCGGGGAGAACGACTGGCTCTCTCGCATCCAGACTGACCCCGCTGTCTGTGGTCATCTTAGACACGGCGGACTCGCCACGGGATCCTCCCTGAGCCACAGCAAACTACATAAAATAACAGCAAAGTCAGATATCAGTTTGCATATAACACAACACTGCCAGTCTACATGGACTCTGAGCCGAGTTAGGCTGGTTTTAGATGGGTTTGACTTGGATAAACCAGCTAAGATCAGTAAACCAGTGTGGCTGTTTGCATAAACGGCTAAATCTAAATATCTTCTTCAAGATTGGTAGTCGGTTACATAAAAAGGTAGATCAGTCTAATTTGAATAAAAATTACCTCTTGTCTTGCTAATAGTTGGTCAAACTAGATCTTAAAGGGATAGTTCACCCAAATTTTTTTAATTTAATCTCTCTCATGTTGTTCCAAACCTGTATGAGTTTCTTTCTTCTGCTGAACGCAAAATAAGATATTTTGAAGAATGTTTGTCACAAAATAGTTGTAGCAAACAGCATCCGTTGGGTTAATTGAGCAACTGTTAGGTAAAACATACTTGAAATAATGTTTCAAATATGACATAACACAACCGTTGGTTAACATTTTATTACAAAATTGAAACAATGTGTCAAATATGACAAACAACCGTTGGTTTAAATATTTGAATTAAAATTTGATAACAATGTGTCAAATATGACAAACAACCGGTGGTTTGACATTTTGAATTAAAATTTTTAAACAATGTGTCAATATGACAACAACGGTTGGGTTTAAACATTTGAATTAAAAATTTGAAACATTGTGTCAAATATGGACATTGTCCATATTTGACACATTGTTTCAAATTTTTAATTCAAATGTTTAAACCCAACGGTTGTTTGTCCATATTTGACACATTGTTTCAAATTTTTAATTCAAATGTTCAAACCCAACGGTTGTTTGTCCATATTTGACACATTGTTTCAAATTTTTAATTCAAATGTTTAAACCCAACGGTTGTTTGTCCATATTTGACACATTGTTTCAATTTTGTAATTAAAATGTTAAACCCAACGGTTGTGTTTGTCCATATTTGACACATTATTTCAGTTGTTTTACTAAAATGTTAAACCCAACGGTTGTGTTTGTCCATATTTTGTGCAAACATTCTTCAAAATATCGTCCGTTATGTTCAGCAGAACAAATAAATTCATACAGGTTTGGAATAACTTAATTGACAGAATTTAAATTTTTGTGTGAACTATCCCTTTAAGACACAGTGGCTAAAGTTTATGTTGGTTGGTTTTCATCGTCTTTAATTATTCATCTAATAAAGACTATATACCCAAAATCAAAGTTGTGGGGAAAAACATAGCTCTTTATCTTTCAACATAGGCTCTTATATATAACCCCTGTCGACTCACTCATATTCCCTTCATTATGAATTAATGAAATCATTTTAAAGCCTTATGAGCCTACCTCATTTCCGTTCAGACTGCTCGGTTTCACGGGTTCAACCACCGTGATTTTGGAGCCCCCGCATCCCATGTTTATCTCTCAGGATTGCGCGCGCTCTCGGTGCGAATTCTATTCGAATACGCGTAAAGTTATTAAACATTCCAACACATGATCCACGAGCGCGCGAGTATCGTCGTCACGGACTCTCTGCGTTGCTACGGTTCGTTGCTACAATAAATCTGACCCTGTTCCAGAGGTCACGTCACCTGTGATGTTGCCTTGGCTCTGTTCGTCAAAAATAAAACACGGGTTTAAACTGGTAATTGATTTCTAGAACAAACGTGTCATCGAGAGTTAATTAGTCACTATTAGAATTTTAACTCATTAACTAAATATCTGAACAAGACACTGTTTTCTCACTATTTTGTGTTTTTTTAAATAAATAAAACTTTATTAGTGGCAAAACTGTTATGATCCTTTTTTTAAAAATTATTATTCTATAGAAATTTCAGTTTGTCTTATTTGATTATTAGAATCTAATTGGACATTGTCATATTTTTAAATGGAATATTTTAATAGTTTGCATTATTAATGTAGGCTATTAAATGTATTTATTAATTAGGCTATATATTGATATTATAAACAAGCTGTCAAAATACAATAGGCTACCTTCTGTTATATTTTTAATTTTATCATTTATAATTTTTACACAATAAACATTGAAATAAATATTTAAATAGTTGATTTAATAATTTTTTTAGATGTTCGCATAGCTGTAAAAAAATATTATGATGCACTTTCATATTTTAAGACTGAAGGTCTACGTTTGCACTTTTAAAAATAAAGGTTCTTTATTGGCAATTATGGGAACTTTAACATTCATGGCACTTTAACATTCCATAAAAGGTTATTTATAGTGGATTTTTTCTTTAGATTTTTAGAATGTTCACACTTTGAAAGGGTTCCTTTTTAAAGAATGTTCACTGACATGCAATGCTGGGTTGTTTTAACCCAATTTTGGGTCAAATATGCACAAACCCAAATTGGATTAAAAAATGCAATTTATAAATGTAACAATTTATAAACAGCTGGGTTTGTCCATATTTGACCCAAAATTGGGTTAAAACAACCCAGCATTTTTTTTAGAGTCTACTACGGCATTGCTGTTAAAATCCCCTTTTGGAACCTTTATTTTCAAGAGTGAATGATGGGACAAATGTGAAACAAAACTCATATATAAGGCAAACGCTGCAAAATTGATGCATGGTTTCTGAACGGTTAATTTTTTTCAACACACAGAATATTTGTTCACAAAGCTCAATCAGTTTCTCTATGGTCAATTTACTGTGGATCCCTTGGCAGACTGGGAACCAGATGTAATAATGCCACATAATAGACCACAATAATCCCATGGACATGCAGCTCACATGTGTTTTAGTTTCCTTCTATTTGCTGCATTTGGCCATGGCTTGACGGATCATCATGTCACCTAGACACAAATGCAAACATACCAAGATATCCTTTGGATGACTAATCAGACTTATTGCCACGCAACACTCAAAGATGCAATAAAATGTAATGTATTTAGTGAATAATATCTACTAGATTTTAACTAAACAAACAAACACACAAACAAACAAACCCTCATTTAGTTATTGATATAAATAGTACTGTCAAGAAAAAATATGCATTAAATGTACTGTATTAAAAGATGCCTTAATAACTATATATAAATAAATAAATAAATAAATACATTATATTTAATAAATATAGTAATTTAATGCAAAATATAATTAATAACATATATTAATAAATATACATTTAATATAAATGCACTTTTTAATGGCACAGACATTATAAATGTGCCAATAAAGCTTCTTGAGTCCTTAACTAAATTTTCAATTTGTTTAAATTTTTTAAATTAAAAATTAAAACCCAACATTTGTGTTTGTCCATATTTGACACATTGTTTCAATTTTTAAATGAAAATTTTAAACCCAACATTTGTGTTTGTCCATATTTGACACATAAAAAAAAAAAAAAAAAAAAATTAAACCCAACATTTGTTTGTCCATATTTGACACATTGTTTCATTTTTCAATTTTTTTAACCCAACGGTTGTTTGTGCATATTTGACACATTTTTTTTAAATAAAAATTTTAAACCCAAAGTTTGTGTTTGTCCATATTTGACACATTGTTTCATTTGTTAATTTTTTTAACCCAATGGTTGTTTCTGCACATTTGACACATTGTTTCAATTTTTACATGAAAATTTTAAACCCAACATTTGTGTTTGTCCATATTTGACACATTTTTTAATAAAAAATTAAACCTAACATTTGTTTGTCCATATTTGACACGTTTTTTAAATAAAGATTTTAAACCCAACATTTGTGTTTGTCCATTTTTGACACATTTTTTAATAAAAGATTTAAACCCAACTGTTGTGTTTATCCATATTTTACATATTATTTTAAAAAATGTAAATACAAATTTTAAACCCAACGATTGTGTGTCCATATATGACAAAATGCTTTAATTTTTAAATAAAAATGTCCATTGTTTAAATGTTTCACTTAAAATTGTAAACCCAACTAAATATGTTTGTCCATATTGTGTAGGATTTATTTATTTTTTTCAGAGTGATTTGATTTTTGATTTGATTTTTTAGATTCAGACTGGATTGAATCAACTAACGTGAACTTCTTCTGAACTTCCTCATCATAAACCCGAGCAGAACCGCTTCTCGAGCGCGCGCACTCACGCCAGAAGATGGTAGTGTCGCTCATCTTTCCTCCGGTCAACAACACCCACAAACCCTGAACAACCACGCCTGAAATAAAGCCCTGCAAATGAGAGAAGCTCTTATAGCCTCCCGCATTTAACCCAGCCAATGAAGGCGACTGAAACAGGGCGGTGAGAGCGACTCGACACACTCAACTTTGGTCAGAGATTAAACACTTCAGACTCAGTTTGGATGAGACTCGCCATGGCGCTCAGTCAGGGGTCCAGGATGCTCAGTAAAGATGACGCGAATTATAAACTTCACTTTCGGATGATTAACGAGCAACAAGTGGAGGATATCACCCTTGACTTCTTCTACAAACCGCACACCATTACTTTACTGACGTTCACCGTCGTCAGCATAATGTACTTTGCGTTTACGAGGTGAGTAACGAGGTGTCACGTGACTGACAGCATCATTTCAGCGGTTTAAAGCGTATGATGATGTTTGTTACCATGTTGCCAGAGCTCAGTTTGTAACAACTGCCTTATTTTTAAACACTTCAAAATTACAATTCATATGAGTTTATTTATGCGACTTGAGTAACAGTGTTGACTCAAAACTGAAGGGTATTTTTAATCAAAATATTATGTCAAATCAACCAAATTTTTTATTCTGTACATATATTTTTCTGAAGAAAGACATATATAAGTAGTGATGAAAGCCAAAATATTAAATGTTATTGCTGGATATTTACTGAGTAATCCACTATTTTGGAGAGGGGGGTCAAAATGACAATTTTCACATGAGATTTGGAGCCAATATTTGATTTTTGACCACTAAAAAAATGTGTGTACAATTTACTCATGGAGCCGTGTTAAGATCTCCATATCTCTTGGCTTGAACCATATAGAGCCTTTAAAATGGAGATACCAAAAGAAAAGTTTGTTAAGAACCAGAATCTGAAAAGGATATTAAGATATCTTTAATACTTCTTGAGTTACAGGCATGCAAACCTGGGGCAAAAAACACTAGAAGTGCTTTTTTCCCATTTTTTGAACCGTCACTGTTGACATATAACACAACAAAGATTGATAAAGTCAACATATTTAACTAATAGACCCACCAATCTCTGTGTAAAAATAAAATAATGTTGCTTACATCTTTCTATAGTCATTTTTACCCCCCTGTAATTTGGCTCCAAATCTCAGGTGAAAATAGTTTTTTTGACCCTCCTCTACAAAACGGTGAAATACTCTGTAAACATACATCCATGATGACATTTAATATTTTGGCTTTCTTCTTCATTTATGTATTTCTTTCACCTGAACAAAAATGACATGGAATGAACCACTTGTATCTCAGTGATTATAACACTGATGATCTATGTCATTCTCCATTCATTTGCCACGCCAGTAAGTCTGGTGACATTGTGAAAGGTGACATTTTCATGACGTCATCATCATGTCTCTGATATGTTATCTGCACCTCATGTTTTTATTGTGACAGGGATGATGGTTATCCTGATAATAACCTGCATGTGGGTCTCCTGCTGGTCGTCTCTTTCTTTCTTGTTATCAGTATTCTTACATTCCCCAACGGTACAGTCATTCTCCGTTTGCTTTAACAAATAACACTGTTTGAGTGCTTTCATTAAAGGGAAAAAAATCTTTATTTACTTGCTCTCATATCTTTTAAAACCCATTTGAATTTATTTCTTGAATGCAACACAAACACAAATATCTGAATTAAAGCTGAATATCCAATGAAAGCACAAGCATTTATTTAAAAATAGGAACAACAACATATTTGATGGCTGCTTTTCCCTCGTTTTTTAGGTCCTTTCACAAGACCACATCCTGCGATATGGCGCATGGTTTTTGGTGAGTCTTTTCTTTTGTGTTCACTTATACGCAGCTCTGTTGGTTTAACCTCCAGGGTCTTGATCTATGATGCTTTCGTCAGGTCTCAGTGTGCTTTACTTCCTCTTCCTGGTGTTCCTCATCTTCCTGAACCTGGATCAGGTGAAGACGCTGTTGTATTGGCTGGATCCCAATCTACGTTACGCCACACGGGAAGCAGATATCATGGTGAGATTAGGCTATATGACAAATATTTCATCATATTGTTTTTATGTCAACAATAACAAAACTCTGGGCAACTATTATTCATTCACAAAGATCACCTGAGCTTCTCTCACTGTGTTTCTACCATCTTTTATCTTGTTAAGATGCATTAGTCAATCATTATTTTCCACCTGTGGATCCTTGGCTTTCATTGGAGTCTCATTTTTTTTTTTTTTTTTACTAACTCTATTTACATAACAAGATAAACAGAGACTCTTGCTGTGATTCATAATTATAATTATTGAACATTTAGCCTAAGGAAGTCAAATAGAGTCAGCTGCATTGGTTCCGCAAGTGTTTTTTCCATTCATTTTCCCCATAGGGATTTTAAAAAAGCATTATAAGCCATGAACCTGACCAATCAGCTACAAACTACTGATTTGAAGCAAAAAAAGTATTTAAAAATCAGACAGAAATAAAAAGGCACAAGATTATTAACGTATTTTAGTGAGGGAAAGAACTAAATCTGATCGAATTGAAAACAATGGAGAAATATAAAACTACTAATTTAAAATTGGTGATTTTATATAAGCAATATGTTTAAAGTGTATTGCATATATACATAATTTTTTTTTTAAACCGACTCAAATGCGTAATTAGCAGTGCTTCATGGGAGTGGGCGGAGCTAAATAACTTTTGGTGTTTTGCTTGTTGTGACTTCCTGATTGGTAGAAATTTCTGTACAGCATCATGGGAAATGTAGTTTTTCATCACAAATTCCACAGTTAAATGCGATAATTTTAAAAACTGAGTTGAAAAAGTGTGCACTGATGGTTTCAACAGAAGGTTAAACCATCGATTAACAACCTCGTCGCTCACAGTAGGTCTGTCCATAAAGGTTTATAAGTTATTCTTAAAAATCAATTTCCCTGAAAATGAATGGAGGAGTTTTTACTTCCTGAACCGACTGTTGTGCTCTAATGAATGAATAAATGAGTGTGTTAAGTGCAGTGCTATTTTAGTTTTTATTTTTGAATTATTTTTATATTTTTAGTTTTCATTTATAAGTTTGAGTAATTTCTTTATGTGTTGTCATTTTATTAGTTTAAAAAAAATATTGCTATTTAGGTTTAATTTATTCTTTTTTCAGTTTTAGTTTCAGCTCGTTTTAGTTTTTATTTATTTCCAGTCAATGCTTCAACTTTAGTGCCAAGGCAACATTTCTAACTTTAGTTAGTTTTTTTTTTTTACCAATGTTTGTATTTTTTTTTTTCAGCTTTTTTTTAATGAACAGAAATGTCTTTAATAGTTTTAGTTTTAGTTCACAATAATAGCCCTGGTTCAGTGTCATATAATCTGTGATTTCCGGCATAATATCATCTTTGTCTATGGCTCTGTGACAGTCGTATTAATTTCTATAGCCGATCGTGTTCACGTCATGCTTAGATTATGTCTGAGCTGTGTAGTTTAAAACCCTCCCTTATTAAGTGTGTGTGTGTGTGTTTCTAATCCAGTGAATCATGATTAATTTCTGTAAGCTTTCTGTAAGAGGTTTCCTCAGTCTGGCTGCGGACGCTCAGCCTATAGGATTATTTGATTGTCTGTCCATTGACATCAGACTCTCTCTGCATCTGATGTGCACAGCTTTCAAATCTCCACTGATGGTAAAGCTTTAACCAAGAAAAAAACAGCTTGGTTTTATTTTAGTTTTTCGTGATTCGGTGGCTCTGAATTGTTAAAACGCCTCTGAAAATGCTAAACACACACCCAGTGTTGGAGATGTATATCTTGTTAATATATTAAGTGTAGCATGTAAGAAGAGTATTAGGCATTGGTATAAGCCAGCCCCCCCCCCCCCCCCCCCCCTTACTTGGAGAATGGATAGAAATTGTTAAAGAAATATATAATATGGAAGAAATGGCTTTTATTTTGAGACTTAAAAAGGACTTATTTCTAAAATATTGGAAGAAATGGATTGAGTACTGGAATGTAAACAATCAATGATTATGTAAAACTAGACTAGCTCCAGAACAGGATGTATTGTTCTACTGTATTGTACTGTTCTATTGTTTACTCTTTCTTTCTTTCTCTTTCTTTTTTTTCTTTTTCTTTCTCTTTCTTTCTTTCTTTCTTTTTTCTTTCTCTTTCTTTTTTTTCTTTCTTTTTCTTTTTTTCTTTCTTTCTTTCTTTCTTTCTTTCTTTCTTTCTTTCTTTCGTTCTTTTTATTTTTTTCTTTATTTTCTTTCTTTCTTTCTTTTTATTTTTTTCTTTATTTTTTTCTTTCTCTTTCTTTTTTTTCTTTCGTTCTTTTTCTTTCTTTCTTTCTTTCTTTTTATTTTTTTCTTTATTTTTTTCTTTCTTTCTTTCTTTCTTTCTTTCTTTCTTTCTTTCTTTCTTTCTTTCTTTCTTTCTTTCTTTCTTTCTTTCTTTATTTTTCTTTTTTTCTTTCTTTCTCTTTCTTTCTTTCTTTTTCTTTTTTTCTTTTTCTTTCTTTCTTTCTTTCTTTCTTTCTTTCTTTCTTTCTTTCTTTCTTTCTTTATTTTTCTTTTTTTCTTTCTTTCTCTTTCTTTCTTTCTTTTTCTTTTTTTCTTTTTCTTTCTTTCTTTCTTTCTTTCTTTCTTTCTTTCTTTCTTTCTTTCTTTCTTTCTTTCTTTCTTTCTTTCTTTCTTTCTTTCTTTCTTTCTTTCTTTCTTTCTTTCTCCCCCCCCGTCTTTCTAAATGTTGAAGGAAATGCTCACTACGGATGCGAAAAACGCCGAAAGTCGAACCCGATTCGTTTTTTTTCCCATGACGGATTGAAGTTTCGCAGGCAGTGTGTAAACGTGATTGACACAACGTGAGGTCCTATTTATTTTTTAACGTGCGAAAACTTCGGATGAGAATTTCAGACTCGGTGTGCATGGACCTTTACTGTACATGCATTTGACTTATTTATATATTTTAATCCCATTTTTTTTTTACAGGAGTATGCGATAAACTGTCACAACATCACGTGGGAGCGCATCATGAGTCACTTTGACATCTTTGCCTTCAGTCATTTCTGGGGTTGGGCGATGAAAGCTCTGCTCATCCGCAGCTACGGTCTCTGCTGGACCATCAGCATCACGTGGGAGCTCACAGAGGTAATGCTTCATGTTTTTGAGAGAAGTCTCTTAAAGGGGTCATGAACTGGCTTTTTAAATTGTTTTATATTGTTGTCTGAGGTCAACTTACGACGTTCGCTTGGTTTTTACATTCAAAAACATCAAAATGAATAAGTAATAGGCTATTTTCTACCCTAGTTTTGAGCCTAGCTCAAAAACGCTCGGTTTTTATGGGCGTCTCGCATTGAAGACTTGGAAGTAAACGCCCACTGCTGTGAGTGGATAACAGTTTTGCATATTATAATGAGTTTGGTGTAATGCGCGAATCGGTGGGCGGGGCTACAGCGGCCGTGTTGAAGTAGGCGTTGATCTTCTTCTGCGGGGGTGGTGTTTTATCCTCTTTGTCGTCATAGTTCCCCACTTTGAAAAACGAGTCGTTTGCTGAGCCTGGTGTCAATAAAAGCTTTTATTGGACTAACAAGGACGTTTTCAGTTCTGAAACTTACAGGATATTCTTATAATTTGATGACCTCTTAGATGTAAAAAGCTCAAGGAAAATTTGATTTCTCAGTTCATCACCCCTTTAAGCTATCTGCATTTATTTAATAATAAAAAAAGTAATATTGTTAAATATTATGACAATTTAAAATAACTGTTTCTATGTGAATATATAGTAAAGTGTAATTTATTCCTGTGATCAAAGCTGAATTTTCAGCATCATTACTCCAGTCTTCAGTGTCACATGATCCTTCAGAAATCACTCTAATATGATGATCTGATGCTCAAGAAACATTTATGAATATTATCAGTGTTGAAAAACAGTTGTGCTGCTTAATATTTGTGTGGAAACCATGATGCATTTTCTTTAAATGCATAAAAAAGTTATAAAAATGGAATCTTTTGTAACATTATAACACTTTAGGTTAATTTAATGCATGCTTGCTGAATAAAAGTGGAATATTATTTATTCTATCTATAAAGGCTTTTTTAGGATATGATTTTTGATTTGACGCCATGAGTGGGTGTGTGTCTTTCCCAAGCGAATACCTTTGAAACTAAGTACTCATTATGCAACTTCCTCATAACTCCGATTTGGTAATCTGCAAGAATTACTGTAAAGGAAGTATGACAAAGAGCTCTTTGTCTAAGAATCCACTTAATAAAACCAAAGACAGTCTCAAAAACCCAGTTTGAAATCGCTGGTGTTTCTGACTTCACAAACGACCTTGTAACCAATCAGATCGACGTGTGATCGTCAACAATAGTGTTGCTTTATGTGTCTCTCTTCTCTATCTTTCTTCCTCATTCAGTTGTTCTTCATGCACCTCCTGCCAAACTTTGCAGAGTGCTGGTGGGATCAAGTCATTCTTGACATCCTTTTGTGCAATGGAGGAGGCATTTGTCTTGGTATGACTGTGTGTCACTTTTTAGAGATGCGTACCTACCACTGGGCCAGTATCAAGTAAGCTCTTTTTACCATTAATCTGTGTCTGAAACCAACACTTGTAATAGGCTTATATATATATCTCCATTTGCTGCCACTAGTGTTGCAGAAATGACAAATTCACTTAAAGTCCCCCTGTAGTCAATCATTTTATCCCTTAAAACTCATCTTTGATCAACAAAATGACATTTAAATAAAAAAATTCCTTGAAAAAAATCTTTATGCCTTAAAATATCTTGAATGTAACTCGACACCCTTGCCTAATTTAGTATACGCGGTTCTATGAATATGCAAATGAGCCCCGCCTCCACTCACTCCCTCAGCTCAGAGATCCACTGGTTGACGATCACACGTTGATCTGATTGGTTACAAGGTCGTTTGTGACGTCAGAAACACCAGCGATTTCAAACCGTGTTTTTGAGACTGTCTTTGGTTCACTGAGAAAATACTCAGCAATGCTGTCGACTTATGAATTTACACATGGTTTGACTTACAGCATATTAAAAACACCACATAGACACATAAACAACACTAAAAGCTTGGTTTTCACCACAGGGGGACTTTAAACATTAATGTTTTCATAAGCTTGTGAGAATAATTATTACAGTAGCAGTAGTTACACACTCACACACATTAATACTCTCCATGATTGCATTGTGCTCAGATATAGAGATTAGCTATCTGTGTTATCTCCAGATCCTGTTTTTGCACTAAATTCTTGTTGTATCAGGCGATCCAGGGTGTGCATACAGGTGAAACTCGAAAAATTAGAATATCGTGCAAAAGTCCATTTATTTCAGGAAATCAACATAAAAGGTGAAACTAATATATTATATAGACTCATTACATGCAAAGTGAGATATTTCAAGCCTTAATTTGTTATAATTTTGATGATTATGGCTTACAGCTTATGAAAACTTTTCACAATATTCTAATTTTGAATTTGGGGTTTTCATAAGCTGTAAGCCATAATTATAACAAATAAAGGCTTGAAATATCTCACTTTGCATGTAATGAGTCTATATAATATATTAGTTTCACCTTTTAAGTTGATTTACTGAAATAAATGAACTTTTGCACGATATTCTAATTTTTCGAGTTTCACCTGTATGTCTAGGATTGTGCTAAAGCAGTGTTGTGTGTGTTTTCTGTTTTATGTGTGTTCAGGGATATCCACTCTACCACAGGCAAGCTGAAACGGGCCGTCATGCAGTTCACTCCCGCCAGCTGGACGTATGTGCGCTGGTTTGACCCCAAATCCTCGTTTCAGAGGGTGGCTGGAATATACCTCTTCATGATTATATGGCAGGTGTGCCATGCTTCAGCAATACACATGATCTAAAACATAAAAAGTAATGTAACGCATATTATGTCACGCATAAACGCCACCTTTGACCCAAACCAGTGGGAAACTTTCCTCTAAACGTTCCCCCACTTTCAACGTTGAGTGCATTTAAATAATAAAATCACGGTGTAAAGAAAATGGGTATTGATCATAATTAGGATTTCATGATGACTATTGCCAGTGCAATTTATTTTGTGCAAATTTTTTGTACTTTTAATAAGAAATATTTAAAGTGTGTGGGCGGAGTCTCCCTGCAAGCGCACTGCACTCGCAACCATATGAATAAATACATAATCAAATTCATAAATATTACACCATTTATCACTATTAATATACACTGGGTGACTGAAACAATCTCCGTCATAGAACACACTTGTTTGATCACAGTCTAAACGTGAATTATCCATGTTGCTTTCAGTACAGCTGTAAAGTTCACGCAAAATGATATTCAACCTCACATTAGATGCTTTAAACACTAAATAAAGCACATACTAATCAGTACCTGAGATTATCATTGCCATACTTTGTATGTTGTTATTTCTGCCATGACGTCACATACGGGTGAAACTCGAAAAATGAGAATATCGTGCAAAAGTTCATTTATTTCAGGAAATCAACTTAAAAGGTGAAACTAATATATTATATAGACTCATTACATGCAAAGTGAGATATTTCAAGCCTTTATTTGTTATCTTTATGTCTTTATGAAAACCCCAAATTCAAAATTAGAATATTGTGAAAATATTGAAAAGATATTTCAAGCCTTTATTTGTTATAATTGTGATGATTATGGCTTATCTTATGAAAAACTTTTCACAATATTCTAATTTTTAATTTAAGCTGTAAGCCATAATCATCAAAATGATAACAAATAAAGGCTTGAAATATCTCACTTTGCATGTAATGAGTCTATATAATATATTAGTTTCACCTTTTAAGTTGAATCACTGAAATAAATGAACTTTTGCACCATATTCTAATTTTTCGAGTTTCACGGTTGCAGCTGGTTAGGACAAAAACTCTGATTAACATTGAAAAGATGCTGTTGATCGTGTTGCGGCGTCACGTTGTGTCTGGTTCGGACCCGGTGTAATGCAGGGAAATATGAAATTGCCCAATACATCCAGAAGGATGTAAACAAACAGCACCGGTCGTAAATTTTCACATATTCAGCATTTTTGGGTTTTGCTCACTTTTTTCCTCTTTCTTTTCCCTTCCAACAGCTCACAGAGTTGAACACGTTTTTCCTGAAGCACATCTTCGTGTTTCAGGCCTCTCATCCTCTCAGCTGGTGCCGGATCCTCTTCATCGGGATCATCACTGCCCCCACAGTGCGGTAATGTTCAAATACCTTCATCTGTGTTCCAGTATAATCCCTTAAAACAGTCCTTTCTCTGTACTGGCACCTCTCACTCCACCAAACAATATTAAAGGGGTCCCATTATGCTGTTTTCCATGTTTCTTTAGGGTGTAATGTTGCTATATGAGGATGAAAAAGCTCTTAGTTATTCTCTATATCAGTGTTTCTGAACTCCTGAAACGCCTCCATTGTAGTCTTGAGTTTCTTCCGGGAACGAACGCGTCACAATATTCCTCATTATAATAATTAATACGCAGAATAAAGGGGCGGGGCCTGGTTGAGTTGGTTAGTAGTGTGTTAAACTGGCGGTTATGGGAAGGGGCGGGACATTTCCCAAACACACTCGAAGCGCTCGACCAATCACAACACACCGCTCCAGCCGACCAATCAGAGCACAGTGTGGTTTTCAGAAGGAGGAGCTTCAAAGAGACAGGAAGTAAACAGAGCGTTACTGACAGACTGGGAAGAGAGGAGCCGCAACAATGGAGAATAATCAACATTCAAGCAGGAAAACCTGTTCTAGTAGAGCCTGAAAACAACATCAACACTTTGTAAAAGAGCATGATGATCGGTCCCCTTTAAGTGAGGCATTTTACTTTATTTAAAAAAGCAAAACGTTCAGAATTTGTCCTTAAACAAATAATAATTAAACTAAAACAAAAGCTTTTCCTGGAAAGGCAGGAGATGAAAACAAGAAATGAGGATCATGAGAAAGCCTGTTATTTTATTTATTATTATTTATTTATTGTGGAGCGTGATCCGACGATGATTTTTCCATCCGTATAATCATTCTGAATAAATATAACTAATTGTGGATAATGAAGTTTGGTAGGTGTTTATACACACAGCCGTTGTACTGTTCAATGCCAGAGGTCTCAAATAACTCGTATGGATCGTTTTAACTCGTATTATCGTTTGGATTTAGGCAATACTACGCATATCTAACAGACACCCAGTGCAAAAGAGTGGGAACACAATGTTGGGTGTTTGGGTAAGTGCATTTTTATTTATCTAATGTGAAAATTATGTAATACCTTTTGAAACAAGGATTTTTAATATTATAGTTTTTCCAGTTTGTATGTTTTGGCTCTTACAATCAGCAACATGTGATGACTTAAAGGGACAGTTCATCAAAAATGAAGAATCTGTTGAACATAGAAGATATTCGGTGTGTTTTACATTGACAATGATTGTCCGTGGGCTCTAATGTTGATTTGGACCCCATTGACTTTCATTGTATGGATAAGTCAAGTCACCTTCATTTATAAAGCGCTTTTAACAGTATGGATTGTTTCAAAGCAGCTTTAATGTGATAATATAAAATAACGTAACAGATCGTTTAGGCTTTACAACAGCATTATGATAAAGTTATTGTCCAGCTAAAGTTAGTTTAGCTGGACAATATACAGTTTAAACAGATGAAAGAAAGTTATACAGGTTTGGATCGACATGACAGAGTTTACAGTTTTGGGTGAAATAGATGAAGTCTGTGTCATGTAATTATTCTGTCTGTTTAATTGGGAACAGATTTTTGATTTAAACTGGTATAGATATAGGGTTTAGGTTTAATAAATATTCACTTCCATCTTTACCACAGCCGGTTTTGTGAGAATCAGCTGATTTACGTCTTGTTTACCAGACAATCTTTCTTTTCCCATTCGATTCTTAACAATGGATGCATTTTCTCCAGGTCTGCCAGATTATTCCTACATAGTCTGGTGACTAGAGTTAACAAACCTCACTGTTGTGTTAAATCCTACAAGTCTAAAATGAAATTATAGAGGTTTCAATTCTGCCTTAAACACAAAGTATTTTTATTTTTGTTCATTTTGACTTGTTCACAACATGTACCAACCCCGAAGTGATAAAATAAAATAAAATTCTGTATCAAAATTTATCGGCAAGACAAGTTTGTTTAGGCATGGTTTATTGGGAATTACAAACTTGCGCACAAACATCAAACGCACATAACTATAGACTCAATTCTTAATGCGCATGTGAACGCCATCAGCGTTTATCACAGGTTCAGTTTAAAGTCTGTTTAGAGAGAACGGTGTCGTCTTAGCGGCCCCTAACTTAACAACAAATGATAATTTCAACGGAAGTGAATCAATCAAAACTAACTAACTTTAGCTGGAAAATAAGATTATTCGAAAACCGCTATAAAACCAAACTCTGTTACCTTAAATTATGTTTATCTCTGTAAAGCTGCTTTGAAACAATCTACATTGTTAAAAGCGCTATATAAATGAGGATGACTTGACTTATTTTTATTGAATGTTTTGTGTACATGGTTTCATAAAACCTGTAAGCCATACAATACCACTCAAACAAAGTATTTGGGCACTTTTAATAGACAATAGAGTTGTCAAACTAAAAATCATCATTTACTCATCATCATGTCGTTGAAAACTTGTATGACTTGTTTGTCTTGACTCTTTCTTCTGTGAATTTTTTTTTTTGTCCACACAATAGAAGTCTCTGCTGTTGGACCCCATTGACTTTACAACAGTTTTGCTCAAAGATTCTTTAAAATATCGTAATATTATTGTATTTATTTGCTGGCATGCCAATTTGTGCCTTAATTTTCGTACATTCAGTGCGGTTTAAGTGTCCTAATACTCTTGGGGTCACTGTATTCGTGCTTTAAACCTGTTTGCGTTCACGAGTGTGTGATTGTGTTCTTCCTTATAGGGCCATTGCTTTCCTGGAGGCGCTGGCTTGTATCAAATTTGGACATGACTTGTTCTCAAAAACACAGGTTCTCTATGTTGTCCTTTGGCTTTTGTGTTTGGTGAGTGTTTTTTCTTTTATTTATAATCATTTATATATACAATAACAAATAAATTGATTATTATTAGGGCTGTCAAATGATTAATCGTGATTAATCACATCCAAAATAAAAGTTTTTTTTACATAATATATGTGGGTGCATTGTGTATAATTATTTTATATATATAAATACACACACATGCTTGTATATATTTAAGAAATATTTTCATGTATATACTGTATATAGATTTATATATCATTTATATTATATATAAATATAAATATTTTATATATAAATTATATTTTTTTCTTAAATATACAAGCATGTGTGTGTATTTATATATATACAAAATAATTATACACAGTGCACCCACATATATTATGTAAAAAAAACTTTTATTTTGGATGTGATTAATCGTGATTAATCATTTGAAAGCCCTAATTATTATATGATGTATATTATTATCTTTGAAAATGCACATTTGTTTTAGAGCCGTGTTTCTCAACAGATATTGAATCCTTAACTAATATTGTCTACGTTCTTATACTGTGACTGTGCATCAGTGTGTTTATACATTACACACTGAACGTTTACAGATTGGACTTTGTGTGTTTCTGTAAACTATATACAGTGTCTATGATCACACTGAAAATCTGGGATTTAAAATCTGAATTAAATCATATAAGAACAGGGGTTTTCAAACTTTTTGAAGCCACGGACTATTACATCTTATTGTTGCCACAGTACAGGTAAAACTCGAAAAATTAGAATATCGTGCAAAGGTTAATTTATTTCAGTAAATCAACTTAAAAGGTGAAACTAATATATTATATAGACTCATTACATGCAAAGTGAGATATTTCAAGCCGTTATTTGTTATAATTATGGCTTATCTTATGAAAACCCCAAATTCAAAATTAGAATATTGTGAAAAGTTTTCATAAGCTGTACGCCATAATCATCACAATTATAACAAATAAAGGCTTGAAATATCTCACTTTGCATGTAATGAGTCTATATAATATATTAGTTTCACCTTTTAAGTTGAATTACTGAAATAAATGAACTTTTGCACCATATTCTAATTTTTCGAGTTTCACCTGTAATAATCATGTTTAAAGATCAATTTATACAGTAAAAAATGTTAGAAATGTGTACAGTATTATCTGGTAAATTTACATACATTTACATATCTGTATCCTTTTTTCTACCTACCATTATGTGTAATGTGAGATGTAAAAACCTGAAGAGAAACATAAAATATGACAAAGTAATTGTCATTATTCTCAGATATTTAGAATATTCAAAAGTACGGAATTGTTGTATTGCATTTAGAATTCTTCACTATTTGGTTTTTTACTAATGAAATAATAAGCAAATTAGTTGATCATGTACAAGAAGTGGGACAAACCAAATACTAAGAAACTAATTTTTCACTTATTATGCAGATAATATATAACTTGTATTGTTATAACTGAAATCATTTTTGTTGTTCTTTCTCTCATACACCTCTTGCCACCTTCCAGGCTTTCATTACGCTTCTCTGTCTGTATGGGATGGTTTGGCACGAGCAGAATTATGGGAAGAGACTGAAGGTAAATACCATAACATGATATGCAGAGCGATACCGAAATCCTCCGAATCAGTGGATTCTTCAACAAGATTGAAGTTCTATACAATTTCACTAAATTTGCATTAGAAAAATGCCCAGCACAGGGAGAGGGAGCCACAATGATGCATTACTGATAATTTCCCTCTGGGTTTTAGTGCAAGTCTTGGTTTATTTAACTGCATATCAAATGTTGATAAACTGATAAATGTCTTAACCTTTACAGAATATTACAGATTGTGATGACAGCAGCTTCATTGACCCGCATGACCACATTCCTGAAACTGCCAAAGGTAACATACAACATACTGATAACACACACACATACATAAATGCATGCATATATATATATATATATATATATATATATATATATATATATATATATATATATCAGTTTTTTATTATTTAATTTAATTATTTTTTATTTGTTTTTTTTGTTATTTATTTTATTATTTATCTGTTATTTATTTTAAAATTAATTAATTAATTTTTATCTATTTATTATTTTTTATTTTCATTTATTATTATTTATCTATTTGTTTATTTATTTTTATTTATTTTATTTAATTCATTATTATAAATAGATAAATAATAATAAATTAAATCAAATAAATAAAAATAAATAAACAAATAGATCAATAATACATTTAATGAAAATAAAAAAATAGATAAAAATAGATAAATAAATAATGACTTAAATAAACAAATAGATAAATAATAATAAATTAATTGTTTTATATTAAATTGTTTTATATTTTTATTTATTTTGATTTAATTTTAATTTATTATTATTTATCTATTTGTTTATTTATTTTTATTTATTTTATTTAATTTAATTTATTATTATTTATCTATTTGTTATTTATTAATTTATTACTTTCATTAGCAGAGAGAAGCTCAAGTAGAAATTCCAGTTCATCGAGGAGAAGAAAAAACAAATCAATCAATGGATCAAGCGGCAAGAAGTGACGACCTCTAGAGCCGGATGATCCTCACCGGACCTGAACACACGTGCGGTGAAAGAACAAACCTGTCATAAACGGTTGAAGAGAGGTAAAGCAGGGCGATAAACCGAGAACACACTCGCTTTATTTTCAGAGCACTTGGAAGGATTTGTGGTACGCCAGGTTTAGTGTAAATGACACGGCACACACTTCCTAATGGCACTGATGTGGATTTCATACGTCTGAAGTGTGTGAGCCAGTGAATGTTTGCAATGCCAGCGTTATTCAACTTATTACACATATTGTTAACGCAGACCAAGCCTTGTCTTTAAAGTTTGCACATTTTCCTGCACTTGTTCTGCACTATGCTCATGGCTTTTGACTCGTACATACCCATGCATTGATCAGGGTAAGAAGTTTTATGCAACATTTCATCATAAGCATAAAAACAGAAGCTCTACTTTTGCGAAAAACCTTTTGAATTTATGCACTTGTATGATATTGGCACAGATGTTGCAGCTTTTTCAGCCTTAAATTTGCTCTTTTAGATTAAAACTGTGTAGAAGGAGGGGCATTTACATTAAGAGCTGTTGATTTATGTAAATATAATATGATTCAGCTTTTTTGCCAACATGAAAAAGTGGTTTATTGTTGTGTGTCATGTTTTTCTATGCATTTATAGTTTTCTTTTGTGGTAAGATTAATCATCATCATTCCTATATGATATGTGCGGTCATGCATGAATTATTTTAGACCCATAATGTGTTCTTTGTGAGGCCTTTAAATGACTATGCAAATTTTTGAAGTACCTTTAATGTTTGCAAAACCCACATTTAATGAAACCTGTTTCTAAAATACTTTGCAGGGATTTTGTGCTGTTCCTAGTCACGAGTGATTTTTTTTTTTCATGGGTTACTAATACTATGGTAACGATATGCTTGCTTATATTAAAGTATCACGTGTTTGTTTTTTTGCCTTATTTTATTTTTTTTACATTACATTTTTCATGGACCAAATTGTGAGCAATACCCAAACTGTTAAATTATTTCCCAAAAATAACTAAAAATGTTTGTCAAACTTGAATCTGCCTCATATCTGGTGATTTCAAACCTTTAATGTGATCATATGGAGCAATGAGGTGTGATTACATATGTGTTTGAAAAATGTAGTTTTTATCAGTGTGGTTTGACAGTAAGAAATGTTATTTTCACTTTCTTAATACATTTATACTGTATCGTTGAGTACATTTTTCAAATAAAATACAGAATCTAAGTTTATTTGCTTCTTAGTAATTGTATAGTTATTATTTGAGGTCCCAGTTTGAGGAAAAATGTGTTACACCTTGTCATTTCAAACTAATTTTGTGCTTATACTGGCTTGGTTATTACCTTACTGTAAATTAAAAAAAAAAAATACATTATTTAAATCCGATTGGTTGTCAAGAGTCTTGTTCCAAATCCAACATGGATGTTGACCCCGTGGAATCAGTTTCACCAAATATTTATGACTTATTAGTTACAAATGTGAATTTGATATAAACTTAAAATTCTCCCTACAGTTTATTTTATATGATTATACATTTTTTTCAATACTTTAAAATGATATTTATTAATTTATCTATCGTTTATTTATTTTCTATTAATCTAGTTTATTATTTTTATTTGATTTTTAACTGATTAATTTAGCATTCATTTATTTAATTTGATCTATTTGTTATTTATTTAATGTATTATTATTGATCTTTTTGGTATTTTTTTATTTTTATTTTTTAATGTATTTATTATTGTCTTTTTAATTTTTGTTTCGATTTTTATTTATATTTATTATACTATCATTAGCAGAGGAACTCAAGTAGAAATTCATGTTCATCACTGAGAAGAAAAGGAGGTTCTGAAAAAAAACCATTTCAGAACTAATATCACCCTTCTTCATAATTTATCCACCATGCCATTAAAGAAATAAGTGTAATAATAATAATAATCATAATATAATAACTATAATTAGTATCTATTTATGACTAAAGTCTGATTAAACTCAGAATCCTTGTCTGAAGTTTATCTTGTTGAACAAAACAAGTCTCTTCACGTAATCTTTACCACAGACTTTTTTCCGTTTTTTACTCATATCCGCCTAAAAACCCCAAAACATTCCCGAACCCACGATCAGTGCTCCTACAAACTGACGTCAATATTGAACGCATTTGTGTATATCCGAACTCCATTTCCCATAAACCCCAGCGCCGAAGTGGCTGACGGTATATTGGAGAGCTGCGCTGTGACAGCGGAGCGCTACTGAGCAGACTCAATCTAGTTAGCCATGGCGGCGACAGGAGGAGGGAAAATCAGATCAAGAAGATATCACATCGCTTCAAAACCGTATGCCAAAGGCAAACAGGTAAATAAAACGAAGCCCTAGTCGCCATGACAAGGATTTTAGCAGATGTTAGCTTTAGCCGGACCGGTGGTTTAGCGGCGGGTTTTGGTTTTTGTAAACAGGAGGCATTTTGAGGCCTGTTTCAGGCCTGTTCACGTTCCTTCAGCAAACGGTCTCAACGCTGTCACCGCAAACCCGTTAATTAATTTGACTGAAAACACACAGCCGTTCGGCGTGGAAAATACTCGAAAATGTGGCGTTAGAGAGGCGAAATTTGAATGTATTTCACTAATTTCAAACAACCGCGTGAACGTGTTTCAAACACAACACGTTAACTTAGCCGTTAGCTGGTGCTCGCACCGGCGTCAAACAGGAGTGCGTAAATTTTAACAAACCTAAGAGCATTTAAACAGCATTTTATTATGGTAACCCTCTAAATAAATAATTATTTATACTCTGACGCGTATGTCTCCATTTAACATTATATATGTGCCTAACACATGAGGGTAACTTGGGGTTCAGAGCACTTTCGTCCGTTTTCTTTACTTCTATTTCATGTCTATGTCGAGAGATGAGTTGGATATGATTGGCGAGTCTGATGCGTGTTTGTGTAAATGTGTAAAGCACAGGTTGATGTTAATGCACTGGGTTTGTCATCATGAGGAAAGGCGGGATGAATGTGCGTGTCGTGACGTGTTTTCAGAGGGATTTGAACCTCACATACACTGGAAACCCTTAAAGGGAAAGTTCACCCAAAAATGATCCCATACATTACTCGCACTCAAGCCATCCTAGCTAGGTGTATATGACTTTCTTATTTCAGCCAAACACAATTGGAGTTGTATTAACAAATATTCTGGCTCCTTTAAGCTTTATAATGGGAGTGAATGGTACCTGAGATTTTGAAGCTAAAAAAAACATCCATCATAACAGTAATCCATACGGCTACCGGAGGTTAATGAAGCAAAGTGATGCCTTTTTGTAGGAAAAATATCTATATTATAACTTTAGAAACCATAATCACCTGTAACGGCCGAATGCAAGCGTGACCTCTGACCCGACGCCTGACATATTGATGAACACCGAAAACACCGGTCATGGATTAGAAGTCTAAAACGAGAATTTTTAAAGGGAAATGTCGGAGGAGTTTGAGTTTTTGATCTCGCCTGAGTTTATGCTACTCCTACGTTATGCGTCGGGTCAGAGGTCACTCTTCCACCAGAACTAGACTCCTGTACGGCCTTTACCGGAAGCCAGTGATTAGGCTATAGTTTATAAAGTTATAAATATGGATGTTTTTCTTACAAAAACACATGTCTTTGCCTTTATTAACCCCCTGAAGCTGTATGCATTACTGTTATGATGGATGGATGCGCTTCTTTGGGCTTCAAAATCAAAGGTAGCATTCACTCCCATTATAAAGCTGGGAAGAGACAGGATATTTTTAATACAACTCTGATTGCGTTTGTTTGAAATAAGGTCATATGCTCCTAGGATGGCTTGAGGCTGAGTAAATTATGGGATGATTTGAATTTTTTCTTTAAACAGGGAAATACATACACACTATTTTCTGTTGACACATTGTGCATCATTACACCTTGTTTCTCTGCTTGCCAACTTCGCATAAACTGCACAAACTATAGTTTCATAGAATCCAATAAGATAGTGACTTCTTTTTCCCTCCACAAATTTATGATAAAATGTAAAGGGAAAGTGCTTATTTTACATGCATTTCAGCATTTAATTTGTTTCCTTTCATTCTAAATATTCCTGTGTTGATATATATATTTTAAATCTTCCATGTTGCCCCTCACTTTATATAAGGTGATAAAACGGCATGTATAATAATGATTAAAACAATGCCGTTTAAGTATCACAATCTGCAGGACAACTTTCCCAAAGCATGTCATGTCAGCTTGCAGGGATGTTTACTAGATTAGATGACATCATAAAGTAGTAGGGGTGTAACGGTACACAAAAATCACGGTTCGGTACGTACCTCGGTTTTAAAGTCACGGTTCGGTACGTTTTCGATACAGCAAAAAGTAAGAAATGCCAGAGAAATTTCCTATTTGTTAAAAGAAAAAATATTTTTTAAATAAGTGTGAGTTTTCCTTCATCTTGAAACTTTCAGGTTTATAAATGGGGGTTATCTTTGAAGGATAAACAAATAATGTTTTGGTCATCACATTAAAAATAACATTTAAATATATGAAGAGTTTAGATGCAAAAGCCATTTGAAATTTTCTTCTAGAATGATCATTTTTATCAAGCTTGTATATTTAAGTTCAGTAATTTCACTTAAATGGCAATGAAGATTACCTATTAATTGTCATTTGAGTGAAATTACTGAACTTAAATATTAGGGGTGGGAATCTTTGGTCACCTCACGATCCGATCCGATTCCGATTCTGGAAGTCACCATCCGATTCCAGAACGATTCTTTATCTACCTTTCCCCCCTTATTAATTCATTAGTTTACATTAAGTACTTTTTAAAAAATAATTACAAATTAATTTGTTTTTATTAAAACAGTTGTATGTTAAGAATTTTAAACTATAACTTATATAACAAAGCATAGAAAAATATAACAAACAACAAACAAAAAGTGCTTTCAGTAGCCTATAGATTATCTGAACGTTTTCCATTCAAGAACTGTGAGTGATTTTCTTCATCTTTACTGTTGTTTTTTACTATGACATCATAGACTGCGGGAGATCTATTAAGCTGCATTCACGCACGCATCTCTTTTGAAATAAAAGAAGTAAAGCGGTGTGTCCTGTCCGTTTAATCCCTTAAGACATAACTGGCTGTGTTTACGTTCATTTTGCACAAGTAGGCCTACATTAAACCACTACACGGAGTCGCACAGCCGCATGCGCGAGCAGTCTCACAAACAAAGCG